TTGCTATCTAGGTATGGAAGAATATTTAAATGATTCAGCAGCAATTTAAACAGTAAAGAAGTAAACCAGTATTTCTCTGAGTTTAATGAAAAGTGACCATTCAAAAAGAAAATTTAATAAAAGGTACTCAAATTATAAAAGGAATGATCTCTACTTGAGGATGGCAAGCTCCTATATTCTGTAAATATCAAAGAATCCACAAGAAAGCTTCTACAACTAATAGAGAAATTAGCCAAGTTTCAGGGCACAGGGTCAACAAACAAAAATCATTTCGATTTCTATACATCAGCAATGAGAAATCTCAAAGGGAAATCAGGCAAGTAATTTCATTTACAGTAGCATCTATGAGGAAAAAAAAAAAAAATCTAGGAATAAATTTAACCAGGGATGTGAAAGGCTTATATAATGAAAATTATAAAACATAGCTAAAAGAGATTAAAGAAGACTTATATAAATGGAAAGATGTCCCATGCCAGTTTACTGGAAGAATACTGTTAACATTTTAAGACTGTTAAGTATTGCAATAGTAACAGACTCAATGATCTACAGACTCAATGTAATCCTGATCAAAATATCAACAGCCTTACTTACAGAAAGGGGAAAACCCAATCTTCTGTTTTATATGGAAAGGTAGGGGACACTGAACAGCTAAAACAATGTTGAAAGACAAAAACAATGTTGAAAGAGACTACTAACTCACACTTCATGATTATTAAAAATATTATACAGCTAAGGTAATCAAAATAGCCGGGCACTGGTTTAACAATAGACACATAAAAGTAAAAACTACATACCCATTGCTTTCAGCTCAGTTTTGGCACATACATAGCGATCCTATAGGACATAGTACAACGACTGTATTGGGTTTCCAAGGCAGTCACCTTTACAGGAGCAGAGTGCCATATCTTTCCTCCACAGAGTGAGAAGGGGTTACAACTGCCAACCTGTCAGTCAGCAGTCAAACACTTAACCACGTTACTAGGTGGGATCCTTAATAAACACAGACCAACTACATATATTAAGGATTGAAAGTACAAAAGAAACCTCAGCTGCATCTTAAACAAGGGTACCAAGGCATGGCGAAAGAAGAGTCTCTTCAATAAGTGACATTGGGAAAACTGGATTTCCACATGCAAACAAATGAAACTGCATAAAGATCTAGGTGTGAAAAATAAAACAATTTGTGAACATAAAATAAGAAAACAAAAGAGGAATAATGATAAGTACTATTAACTGATGGTGCATGGAGGGTTTATAATCGTTGCAATGAAACAAAATATGATTGGTTGAGTGTAAAACTGATGATCTGCCCTGTGAACTATCACTCAACTTGCAACACAAGCTTTGAATAATTAAAAAATAAAAACAACACATTCTAAGATGAAATTGCAGGCACAGTGCTGATGGGCCTAGCTTTTAACAACTGGATTTTCACATGTAATAACAAATGCACAAACAGTGAAAGACTACATAAATGGTACGTAGTAAAAATTAGAATCCTTGTTAATCAAAAGTGAAAGGAAAAGTCAATGACTAGGAAAATATTTTCAGAAGCCATATGTCCAATGAGAATCAGATAACTAAAATATATACAAAACTCTTAACATCTTAACAACAAAAAGAGAAAAAAATCCAATAAAAAATGGGCAAAGGATGTGAATAGATATGTCCCCAAAAACCATTCTCAAATGTCCTGTGTTGTTGAATGCTGTAGAATCCATTCCAACTCACAGTGACCCTTATATAGGATCTTCGAGAACAGCTGGTGGGTTTGAACCACTGACCTTGTGGTCCAGTGCTTATTCTACAGTGCCATACCAGGATTTCACAAATATCCTATAAACACATGAAAATATGTTCAATGTCATCAGTCAATCAACCCAAACCAAATCCACTGCCATCAAGCCAATTTTGAGCTACTTTTATAGGGTTTCTAAGATGGTATATCTTTACAGCAGCAGAAAGCCTCATGTTTTCCCATGGAGCAGCTGGTGGGTTTGAACTACCAACCTTCTGGATAGCTGTCCAGTGTTTATTCTCCAGCACCACCAGAGCAAGTTAACTGCACACCAAGACCACAATGAAGATCACTGGTGTGGTGTTGTAGGATAAGCACTGGACTGTTAACTGCAAGGTTGGCAGTTCAAACCCACTAACCACTCTCGAAAATCCTAAACAGGGTCACTATCAGTCAGAACCGACTCAATGGCATACAGCAACAGGATGACTAAAATGGAAAAAAAAAAAAAAGGAAAATTACAAAAGTATATGAAATTACTCTGCCTGTGGTGATGCAAATTGTTGTAGTCATTATTATGGGTAAGGACAGTGATTCCTAAAAAAATTAAAAATAGAAATATCATTGTTAAGGGTCTTCAAGTAGGTTCCAACTCATAGTGACCCAGCATAGGGCTTCCCAGGAGTGGTTGCTAGGTTTGAACCGCTGACCTTGTGGTTAGCAGTCTAGTACTTATCTTACAGTGCCACGCCAGAACTCCAGAACTACCATCTGGCCCAGCAATTCCCCTTCTAGCTATATTTGTAAGTGAAAAATTTTGCTACAAAATCATAGAAACCTATACTAAATAAAAATAGCATAATGTCAAGTTATTATTTCTTAACATATCCTCCCATCTGGGTTTATATACTTCTAAAGGTGGTGTTTCCATTTCTCTAACCCTTCCCTGAGGAATTCTGCACTCTTTTGATTTACACCATGCCAAAACGGCCACTTCAGCATCCTCAAGGGACTCAAAATCTGTATTCCTAGGTAATGTTGAGTTTGGAGAACAGAAAGACATTTGAAGGGGCAAGATCAGGGTTGTAAAGTGGGTGGGATAAGGTTTCTCAACTGAGTTTTCATAGGATAGCCCTTGCTATCCTTGAAGAATGAGCAACTGCATTCTTAGAATGGAAAAAAAAAAAAAAAATTATTTAGTACAACTTCCCTGTAATTTCTTATCAATGCAGTTTCTAATTTTTTTAACTAAAATTTTTTGATAGTCAGCCCCCACGACTATCCTGTGTCCTTCGAGAAAATCTATCAAGATTACTACTTTGGAATCCAAGAAAAGTAGGCATATTGACCTTTCTGCCTTGAATTTAAGTGGCCCAGTTGATCCTCTTGGTAGCCACTGTTTTGATTGGACCTTTTTCTCTGGATTAGATTGGTAAATCTAAGACTTCTTCCCAATTATGGTATGTTCCATTAAATCATCTTCATTAGTTTCTATCTTCAGCTAGCTGATCCTTGTGCAACACTTTAAGTATCTCTAATTTTTATTTATTTTTAAACAGAATTTCAGATTTTATTAAGCCAGCTGACTCAGAGGAGCTAATTTCTCCAGATCTGAGCCCCGAATGGAGGGCCTCTATGGGGTCAGAGTCCCTAAGTATTTTCTATTTTTCTAAGACATCCTAATGAGCTGGACTGCAAAGCTGGTTTGAACAGCAAGGTCGGCAGTTCAAGCTTACCAGTCTCTCCTTGGAAACCCTAAACACGGCTGCTGTGGATTGAAACTTGATGGCACTTAACAAGAATAACAACAAGATTAAAACAAGTGTATTACTGAGAGAACTTGTCTGCAGCCATCCACTGATAACAGAGACATGTGTAAACATGTATTGTTTATAATAAACTCATACATGCAAGAACTGGAATGTTAGTAGCAATACTTTTTGACTCACCTGCTGCACAAGAGCTCTTTAAAGTGTTAAAAAGCTAAGATGTCACTTTGAAAAGTAAGGTGTGCCTGATCCAAACCATAGTCTTTTTAATTGCGTCATCTGCATGCAAAACCTGGGCAATGAATAAGGAAGACGAAAGAAGAACTGAAGTCTTTAAATTAAGGTGTTGATAAAGAATATTAAATATACCATGAAATTCTAGAAGAATGAATATATCTGCTGGAAAATGTACCCCAGAATGCTCTTTAGAAGTGTAGATGGTAAAACTTTGTTTCATTAGCTTTCAACATATCATCACTACTTGTCTCTGGAAAAGGATGTCATGCTTGGTAAAGTACAAGCCCATGAAAAAGAGGAAGAGCCTCAACAAGATGGATAGATACAGTGGTTTCAACAATGAGTTCAAACATAGGAACAACTGTTAGGATGGTACAGGACCAGGCAATGTTTAGATCAGTTGCACACAGGGCCACTAGGAGTTGGAATGGACAGGACAGCATTTATCGACAACAACAATATGAATACATGATCAAAAAGATAATTATCAATTAGAATAACACATTGGGGCTTCTGCAAGGTTATGTGAAGATTTTTTTAAATGCTCCACATGGATGGATGAATTAGAATAAGACACTCCAGAAGTTTACAAAGGTGACCCCACATTTGTGCCCTGGACAATGGAGGGAGGCTGGGTTTCATCCCCACTGGTACCGCTGGCTAGACATAAACCCACACATCTGGATGGACATCTGCAAAACATTCATTTGACCCTCCCTTCCCACAGCTTTATGAGAAGGGAAGGGCACATGTCCTTATTTTGTAGAGGAGGAGGCGCCATAGAACAGCGAGGCCAGCACACACAGGCGTCAGAGTCAATAAGCAGGGGAGCCAGCAGCAACTTCAAAGCCAGAGCTCTTCGCATGGTTCTGATGCCTTTTGAGGCGTAAGGAAGTGGAAAAGGTTTCTTTCTCAATATAAATATTGTGTATACTGTCATGGTCAACTCAACCATTTGGGCCCAATATTCTTAGTACTGAACTTGAGTAAAGACTGTAGATACTAAGCCTATTTGAAAACTATGTACTCAAAATTGAACATTAATGTTTTATATGTTTAGCTATGAAAAAAAAAATCAGAATAACAGAGATGTTTAAATATAAACAGATAATCTTATCCCCTCCAAAGGCTTAAACTTATTGACTTAAGTGTATAAATATTTTGAAAAAATAAACATACACACCTATACAGGGTCACTGTTATAACTGCCTCAAAGATACTTAACAACAACAACAATGTGTATATGGTTAACTTACCTAGAAGTCTCTGCTTATTTTGTGGGGAATCAGGCTCTGTAGAGCATCTGCAAGACCGGAGGACAATTACTCCCCCAAGCACGCCATCTTCGCTGGCGAGGAAAGGTGAACCTAGACAGACATAATTAATCATTTTACAATGAATTTTACTTGTTTAATTTTCAATTTTCACTTGATTACTGAACATATATGTTGTATGAATAAGATTTTGAAAGATGTCCATTTTCTGACAATCACCATTGTTCCTACCTTGTACAGACTTGATGGCAAAGGCAGGCTTAGGCCCGAATAGGGGCCATTTGGCAAAGACAGTCCCAGATGCCGCCAAAAATACTTGAGCTGGGGACTGAGTTTGCAATACTCTATTCATAATGGAATTGGAAACACCACCAGATTAAACGACCAAAACACAAATAGAGGAAAAAATGCTCAGCGACTCTCTTTGATCAGCTCTTAGAGATCACTTACCAGGCTCTCCCTGCTGTCAAGGGCATGCCACCAAAAGCTTTGACTTACTACCTTAAATTAAATTTTAAACAATAAGCCACAAACGTTATTACAAACATTTAAAAATGCTCCTGATGGTTTACACAATAAGGGTGAAACTTTCTTTCTATTATGAGCGTCTGGTGGTTAAAACCAGTTGGGCTTCCTTAAGATCTCACACACTGAACCACTGTGAGCATTTTGAGAACATTACATTTTAAACCCCTCATTTTTCTTCCCCAAGGACATCTTCTTGTAACATCTGGCACAGCAAGTAAGCACGTGGAGAACAAATGCAAAATTAACCCAAGCACTATCAAAGAAAGTAGTAAAAAATGAAAACCAACCAAATTAGGTATGGGGGAGCTTCTGGTTAAAGTGAGGAGATTAAACACATGCAGTTATCTCCACTACCTCCCCAAGCACAATAAATGGGTGGAAAAGTATGTGAGGGGCATAATCTAATAAGGAAAGCGAGAAAGGAACTGAGGTCAGATAAGACAAATAATTGACCTCCTGAAAAATGGAAAGAAAATGAATAATACTTTGGGCTTTGTGAGCCAATAATAGTCTCACCTAGCATCCCTGTGAAATGTGACATCTACATTTCATGGAGGGTGGGGGATAGAGAAGGGAGCACTCAAACATAACAACCAGTTTCTGCCAGAAACCCTAAAAGGATACAAAACTGGAGGCTTCTTCAAGTTCCTTTGAAGGCAGGGGTGCAGGGTAGGGCTGGAATGAAGATGACTAGTTGAGAGTGTGTAAAAGGATCAATATCAAGATCAGCCAAACTATGATCTGTCTAAGCTACAGCTTGTATCTCTACTCCCTGCAAACTAAAAATATTTTTGCTTTATATTTTTGAAGCATTGTAAAGGAGGGGAAAGAACAGGAATAAGAGAAGGAAGAAAAGGAGAAGACGAGTATCTTACAAAAATCATTATGTAGCTTGCAAAGCCCAAACAACTCCCAGGCTTTTTACAGAAAAAGTTTGACTGTATCTGATCTAGAGCCCCAGATCCTTACCCAGAGAGAGAGAGAGAGAGTTACTCCTCTTCAACCCTGGAGAAGCAAGGGTATTTACTCACTGCAGAAGCTGACACAGAGAGATCTGAGGGCATCACGCTCAGCTGAGGCAAAAGAGAGGCTCGACACCAAAAACAGAAGCTGAGGTGGAAGTCTTTTTACTAAATCATGAAATAACCAGTTTCTATTCCCACTGATACCCAGCATGCAAAAAGTCAGTCTGATATGTGTCAAACAAGAGACTGGACATTTCCTCTCTGGGGACCCAAACAACTCAAAAGTGAAAAAGTACGTGAGAGACCGTAACAACAACAAAAATGCTTCTCCTTGACTGATGACCTTCTTGTAGGGCTCCAGAGGACAACTGCTATTCATATCCAGAAGGTACTCAGCTCGGTTTCTTGGCATTTAATTGTTAATGTGGACAGACAACCTAGGATCACTAGTTGTTTCAGGCAGGTCTCTGTCCTAAAAAACACAGAGACTAAATCAAACTAAAAATGTAACACAAATTTAGGCAAATGTATTGAGCAGAAAAGTCTTCAATACTGGGGAGAAAAAAGTTAAAGACACAGCTGGAGAATGACAAGATGGAAAAATTAGAAAATCAGTAAGGCCAGAAGGTCCAATATCTAAATACTAAGAATTCTACAAAGAAAGGACAAAGAAATGGGAGGGAGAACATTTTAAATGCATACGCTGCTGTTGTTGTTATTAGGTGATATCTTGTCAATTCCTCCTCATACTGACTCTGTACCACAGAATAAAGCACTGTCTGGTCCTGCATTTTCCATGTTTTCTACGTCTGAGCCTGTTGTTGCAATCACCGGATCAAGCCATCTTGTAGAGGGCCTTCCTCTTTCTCACTGACTCTCTACCGAATGTGATATCCTTCTCTAAGGATCGATCCTTCCTAATGACATGTCCAAAATGCATGAGACAAAGTCTCAAAATCTTAATTTTTAAGAAGCAATCAGGTTATACTTCTTCCAACACAGATTTGTTCATTTTTCCAATAGCTCAAGGTGTATTTAATATTCTTGGCCAGCACCATAACTTAAAGGCATCAATTCTTTGTTCTTCTTTATCCATCGTTCAGGAGCACACCCAAAGTTTTACACTTTGGTAGAGTGAGCACACTACCCAGAAAAGGAAAAAACTACAGGTTGAAATCCTGGAATGGGGTACTTGAAACAGGTGTGGCCAGCCCTTTGGGGAGCCCGATGTGTGAGACTGCATTAGTGGCAGGATTGCAGTAGCCTGACTCACATTTACAATCTTGCAATGGGCTACCATGTTTGAGTGGGGTGTGATGTTTGAGGAGGGTGTCACAGGTTTGAGTGTGGCAGGGCTGTTTTGAACTATGGTCAAAATCCAAAGGCAAGAAATTTGGTTGCTCGACAACATGCACACTGCCCTTTCCAGGTAACAGGGAGATTACACTTCCAGTAAGGTTTCCACTTGTAGTTTTTCCTGGACTGGCTAGCTTTCCAGTTCACTGTAACTTAAAAAAAAAATTCTGTTATGTTCCAGCAATGCCTCCTTGATCTTGAATGAACTCAGCAGAACTGAGTTACAAATGAGATTCATTCCTAACTGTGTCATTTAGAATTAGTCAGGGTGTCAAACTGATTCTACCCTGTAAGTTATTACTTAGTGGGGTGGCTACTTCACAGAAAGTCCTTTTGACTTACAAGCTCCCATTTAGCTCTGGGTGCACAGCTTAGAGAAGTGTTACCCAAATAGCTGTTCAGAAGAGAGTCCTTCTGTATATGTTTTGACTGTGTTCAAGGAGGCTTGGAATGTGATGACCTGGTGTCAGCAACCAGGGATGATAAAGTGCAACGTGGGTAGCTGGCAACAAGGAATGGAGATGTGGGAAGGTAAAGCCTAGTTCCATTTACAGGTGGGAAGGGGATTTATGCTGAATCCATTTACAGGTGGGAAGGGGATTCATATTAATTTTTAGCAATAAAGGAAGGACTGACCACCCTTACCCTTCTTTTTTGGAGTCCTGGAATGCCACTGTAGGATAAGTACTGGACTCCTTGGAAATCCTATATAGGGTCACTATTAGTTCAAACTAAATTGAAGGCACATAACATCAACCCCTCTTTTAGTGAAGTTAGAGACAGTGTAATTAAAGCAGTAGAAAAGTCTACAAACATTCAGAGGGAGAAAAAGATCACATGGAAAGCAAGGAGATCAGAACAGCATCAGATTTCCCAATAGCTGCTAAAATATATGGAGACCAGCAGATGAGGTACTGTCTTCAAAATGTGGAAGGAAGATGGGGTAGTCTACTTTTATAAAGATTTACAGGCTTCTTTGACAAAATCCAACATTCATTACTTATAATAATACTCAACAAAATCTGAACCAAATCTTAATATAATTAAGAGAGTGTGTGTAGGTGTATATATATATTTATCAACTATCAACACTCGTGGAAGCAGCAGTCAAGAGATCAGATGACGTACTGCATTGGGCAAATCTGCTGCACAGGAACTTTTTAAAGTGTTGAAGAGCAGAGATGTAAGCTTGAGGGCTAAGGTGCACCTGACCCAAGCCATGGTATTTTCAATAACCTCGTATGGATGCGAAAGCTGGAGAGTGAATAAGTAAGATCATAGAAGAATTGATGCTTTTGAATTGTGGTGTTAGAGGAGAATACTGAAAGTGCCATGGACTGCCAAAAGAACCAATAGATCTGTTTTGGAAAAGTGCAGCCAGAGTGCTCCTTGGAGGCCAGGATGGCTAAGCTCCGTCTCTCATACTTTGGAGAAGGATGTCATGCTGGGTAAGATGGAGGGTCAGAAAAAAAGAGGAAGACACCCAACGAAATGGATCAGCCTGGTGGCATCATTGATGGCATCAATTGTGGCAGCGGTAGTGAGGTTGGCCCAGGATCGGACATTGTTTCATTCTGCTGTGCATGGGGTTGCTATGACTCGGTTCCGACTCAATGGCACCTGACGACAACAGTATAATAAAGGAGTCCTGGTGTGATGCTGTAGATTAGTGCTCTAGACTGTGAGGTGGGTCTAAATCACAAGGTCAGCAATTCAAGCTTACCAGTCGCTCCTCAGAGTCCCTATGAGTCAGAACCAATTTAATGGTACTTAACAATAACAACAACATACAAAAGGAGACTTGGTAGCATACTGGATAATGAGCTAGGCTTCTAATCACAAGCAAGGTCAGTAGTTTAAATCTACCAGTTGCTCCGCAGAGAAAGATGAGGTTTTATATCCCCATAAAGATTTACAATCTCAGAAACCCTACACAAGGTAGCTATGAGTAGGAACCTACTCAATGACACACAACCATCACCATACAAAACCAATATCCAACATCATTGTGAATGGAGAGAAATTGAAAGCATTCCCTTGTGAACAGGAACCAGACAACAGTACCCTTTATCAATACTATTCAATACTTTAAGTGTTAGCCAGAGCTATAAGGCAAGAAAGGAAAATTAAAGGCATCCAAATTGTCAAAGAAGAAGTAAAACTCTCTGTATTTGCAGATGATATGCTTCTATATATAGAAAAACCCAAAGATTCAGCAAGAATATTACTGGAACTCATTGAAAG